CTACGCGAGCCTGGCGGGGCTGCTGTAGCTCACGCAGGAGGAAGTACCGCAGCTGGATGTGCTTCGCTCTGCCCTCGAGTCGAGGCTCCTGACACAGGAGGATCATGGCCCTGTTGTCAGCGTACAGGACTGGGGCAGAGCTAGGCCGCTCACCTAAGTCAGTGAGCAAGAAGGTCAGCCAGTGGAGCTCCTGTGCCGCCATGGCACCGGCGTAGATCTTGTTGTGTGATGTCATCATATGCTATCACATTCTGTCTGCCTCCCATCCCATGTTTTTTCAACTTGCATGTGTGGTTTGAATGTGCAAGCATTTGTGTGTGGTGTGTTCTGGAGTTTGGGAATGTGTTTTGTGTTATTCTGTCTGAGCAGGTATTTGTGATAATAGATCTTGAGAAGATCTTTCCGACGCAACAAGAATCGCTTCAATCGGAGCAAGAACGCGAAAGCTATGAAGATTCAAAGTTCATGAGCTTGCGTTACAATTGCGGCGGTTACTAAGTGAAGTTGTGGGGTGACTTTATATGGAGTTGGGACCTTTGGGGTTGGGGAAACTTGTCACTCTACTGTAACAGCTGCAAATTGGTTGGGAACAACCAAGCTAGGTTGGCAAGGGTGGCCAACTTGGATGGATTGGTTGGGAAGGGACAAATGTCAAAGTTGGGGTTCCTATAGGGAGGGAATCTTTGTGCTTATGGGGTTTCCTTGGTTGGGGACTCTCTTGGGACCTTCCCTCTCATCCCTCTCTTCCTATCCCAACCTTTCTCTTGCTCCTTCTAATTCCTTGTGAGATTCTTGAACTTTGATTGAACTCTTGAGATTGAGTTAAGTTCTCCTCCTACAGCTTACCCCCTAGTGCGTCGAAAGCCATAGCGTCGCGAATACTTCATCAATCAACGTGATTCAAATTGGGAACGGTAGCTGAGATCAAGAGCTACAACATATCCAAGTTTCGCGACATTCCAACGGCTAGTGTTTTGTCGACGTCGTTTCTTGTGAAGACGACTTTTCTGTCCAGAATTTCGGATTTATATTTTGAGTAATTCTAGCTCCTAAGTTCACCTAGACTCTGTCCTTAATCCTAACAAGTGGTATCAGAGCGATATTAAGGACATTGAGAGGAGTCTACAGAAGTGTGAAGACCCTTCTAGACCCACCATGGCCTGTGGGTGTGCCTAAGTGGTGTTCTAAAGGTTGGATGTGTCTTCCGCTAAGGGGAAACTCTGCCGAAATTTCGTGGACGCCGACACTTGTGAAAATATCGAGGGAGCTGAGTGTGGACAGCAAAGGGGAGCTGAAATTCGTCATTTCTCAAGGAGAAGATGAATGAGAGAGGAGGAGATGCTAATGGAAGAGGAGCTGTAGCTGAGAAGACAAGTGAGCCGCCGCCATCAAAAGTTGAAGCTTTGGATGGCTCCAACTATGAGGAATGGAGCGGACGGATGAGGAGTGCCTTCAAACGCTACAAGCTCCTGAAGATTGCTGTTGGGGAAGAGAAGATGCCGGAAGAAGGCGAAGCACGTGAACGGTGGATTGAGAAAAGCGCGGTGCTTTTCGACCTCATTCTTCAATCGGTCAACAAGGAGATGTTCGAGCACATCAAGGATCTTGTGGAAGCGGATGATTCGGGTCCAAGGGCGTGGAAACTACTACGTGATGTGGTTCAGCCCAACACTCTCCCGATGGTGATCGTGCTCGAGAAGGAACTTGCTGCCATCTCCATGCGACCAGGGGACGATGTGAAGCCGGTCCTTGACAAGATCAAGGACACCTATGCAAGGATGGCAGCAGCGGGCAGCAGTGTATCTCAGCTGCAGCAGTGCACCAAGATCATCTCGGTGTTGGACAACTCTTGGGACAACCTCATCCCCACCCTCAACTCTCAGCAAGATCAATGGACACCTGAGTGGCTAAGGCAGCAGATTCTGCAGGAGGACTTCCGCAGACGCCATGTGGGAGGCGGTGCTGCCACTAAGACTGCTGAGGGGTATGGAGCTGCAGGGCGCAGCAGAGGAAGAGGGGGTTGGAAAGGCCGAGGCCGTGGGAGGAGCTTTGGCAGAGGTAGAGGCCGAGGTGACTATAATGAGGGGCATGGGAGCTCTAGTGGCAGGGGGAGTACCAGAATGGAGGGCACGTGCTGGTACTGCAAGAAGGTTGGGCATCCTTGGTTCAAGTGCTTCAGCAGGCTGGAGGGATGGGCACCTCCAGGCATGAAGCCGCCCAGTGGTGAACGCGCACAAGGTGGCGCTGTGCAAGGCTCAGGTGCACAAGGTGAAGGTGCACAAGGTAATGCCTATCCTGGTTTGTTTGTTATGGTTGAGGATGTGCATGGGCATGAGGGTGATGTGGGATCTGTGGGAAAGGTTGTGATGCACCCTCTCACGCACTGGGTGATTGATTCGGGTTGCACCAGTCACATGACTCCACGGGCAGATTTGCTTGATGAGGTAAAACCCCCTGGGAAGATTAAGTATGTGGCAGCAGCGTCAGGTGCTTTGCTCCCCGTGATTGGTGTTGGGAATGCCAAGGTTAAGGGAGCTAATGGGGAGCTTGTGGGGCTTGGGAATGTTCTGCTGGTTAAAGGCTTGTCTGCTAACCTTCTCTCTGTGCGGCGGCTGCAGAAGAGTAAGGCCGAAGTGACCTTTGGACCAACCAGCTGCCGTGCTAAGCTTGGGAAGAAGGTGCTGTGGAGTCTGGAAGAGGAGACCAGCTGCATCAAGGACCTGTGGCAGCTGCCCATCATCCCTTGGAATGGGAAGACTCCAACAGCAGCAACGGCAGCAGTGGCAAAGGCAACAGCAGGAGGAGATGCAACTGCACCAACTGATGGGGTCCTGGAAGCAGTCAAGAAAGTGCAGAAGCAGCAGACACATGGTGAGGTGCTTGCTGGTGTGGATGCGAGTGCGGCATGGGCTAAGGCTTCACCAAGGAGTGGAGAGGCCGATTGGGAGACATGGCATGAGAGGCTGTGTCATGTGAACTTCCCTATGCTGCAGAAGTTGGTGAAGGATGGGAGCCTGAAGGGCTTGGAGGTGAAAGGGGGAGTGAAGGAGATTGGGAGCTGCCCTACATGCTTGGAGACCAAGTTCTCCAAGTTCCCCTTCAACAGCACTACAGGACCAGCCAAGACCCCACTTGCACTTGTGCACATGGATGTGGTGGGGCCCACAAGAGCCCCTTCCCTCTCAGGCAGCCGCTATTTCTTGACAATTGTGGATGACCACACTTGGGCAGTGTGGGTTTACCCTTTGAAGAGCAAGGGGGAGGTGGCAGCGGCTGTCCTTAAGGAGTGGATGCCGAGAGCTCAGAGGGAATGCGGACACAAGGTGAAGGTGATCCGTAGTGACAATGGTGGGGAGTTCATTGGAGCTGATTTTGAGGGGGAGTTGAAGAGGAAGGGGATCCAGCATCAACTGACAGTGCCCTACAACCCACAGCAGAATGGCGTGGCTGAGAGGTTCAACAGGACCCTGCAGGAGGGGGCACGCACTCTCCTTGGGCGTGCAGGGCTGCCTGATCCGTTTTGGGTGTCTGCACTGAGGCAGGTCGCCCTTGTGAAGAACAGGGTGCTGGCTACAGTTGGAGATAAGGAGTGGATCCCATACGTCAAGTGGTATGGGAGTGCTCCAGCTGTGAACATGCTGAGGGCATTTGGGTGCATGGTGGTGTTTCATGTGCCTAAGGAGAAAAGGGGGAAGTTGGAGGCTTCTGGAAGATGGGGTGTGCACTTGGGGATTGCAAAGGATCACAAGGGGTGGCTGCTATGGGACTTGACCACCCAGAAGTTGACAGTGTCAAGGGATGTGAAGTTTCTTGAGTCCCTGTACTACAAGGAATGGAAGCAGCAGCAACAGAAGCTTCCATCTACACCGCTCATTGTGGAGGCAGATGAGGTGCAGCACCCTTCAAGACAGGTGGAGGTTGCAGTGTCAGAGGAGGAGATGTCTGGGGTGACTGAGGAAGGGGGAGCAGCTGAAGTAGAGCAGCAGCAGCAGCAGCATGAGTCTCCACCTCGAGTTCCACACCCGCCTGAGCGTCCTAGGAGGGATGTGCGCCCTCCAGTGAGGCTGACCTATGGGGGAAGAGGCAAGCCGAATGTGGTGCAGGCTGGGAGTGTGGTTGAGCAGATTGAGGAAGATGAGATCGCTCACTGCTACTGGGCACCAATCCCTGAGCCCAAGACTCGAGAAGAGGCCTTGAATGGACCAAATGGGGAGAAGTGGAAGGCGAGTGAGGATGAGGAGTTCGGGTCCCTAATTGAGAACGAGACATGGGACCTGTGTGACTTGCCTCCTGGAAAGAAGGCAATCACTTCCAAGATGATCTACAGGCACAAGTATGGACCTGAAGGGGAGCTGACCCGCTACAAGTCTAGGCTTGTGGCACGGGGGTTTCAGCAGACAAAGGGGAAGGACTATGATGAGGTGTTTGCTCCTGTGGGGAAAGGAACAACATTGAGGGTGCTGTTGGCGATAGCTGCACTCCTGGGATGGAAGATTCGGCAGATGGACATTGTGACTGCCTTTCTGAATGGGATCATTCTGGAGGAGGTGTACATGAAGCAGCCAGAGGGGCTGGATGATGGGAGCGGCAGGGTCTGCAGGCTGAAGAAGGCCATCTATGGCCTTAAGCAGGCGCCTCGTGCATGGTATCACAAGTTGGAGGAGGCGCTGCTGGCTGGGGGTTTCAAGAAGAGTGAGTGTGACCCCAGCCTGTTCCTGCTGCAGGAGAAGGACGAAATCCTCATGCTCTTGGTGTATGTGGATGATATCCTTCTCTTTTCTGCATCAACTGCTTTGCTGGACAGCGCAGAGCAGATGCTGGAGATGCAGTTCAAGTGCTCCAAGATGGGTGAGGTGAAGTACTACTTGGGGATGCACGTGGAGAGAGATGTGGAAAAGGGTGTGCTGAGGTTGCACCAGAGGAAGTACTGTGAGGGGCTGGCTGAGAAGTATGGGCTGCAAGATGGGGGAAAGCCAGCAACACCACTACCTTCAGGGTTTACTGTGGAGCCATGTGCTGATGAGGAGGTAGTGGGTGATAGTGACAGGAAGCTGTTTCATTCGATGGTTGGGTCGCTGAATTATCCTGCAAATCATACACGGCCTGACATTGCATTTGCTACATCACGGTTGGCTAGTGTGGTCTCACGCCCTAGTCATGAGCAGCTGGAAGCGGCCAAGAGGTTGGTCCGCTATGTGAGTGCTACGGCATCAGTGGGATTGGAGTACAGTGGAGTGAGGCAGCGGTTGCAGAGAGGTGCTGCAGATGTGAAGAGTGGAGAGATGCTCTTGAGTTGCTATACTGACGCTAGCTTCAACTCAGTGAAAGCGGATGGCACCAGCATTGGGGGTTATGTGTGCTTGCTAGGAGGTGGTGCTGTGAGCTGGCGCAGCAAGAAGCAAAATGAGGTGGGATTGTCTTCATGTGAGACTGAGTACATGGCCTTACACCATGGGGCCAAGGAAGTGGTATGGCTGAGGCGTTTGTTGGAGGAGTTGGGAGTTGGTCAGGAGAAGCCGACAGTTGTGTTTTGTGACAATGAGTCCGCTGTGAAGCTCGCCAAGAATGCTTGTCTGCATGGGCTGACAAAACACATAAGGCCTAAGTGGCATTGGGTGAGGAGACTCCTTGATAAGGAGGTGCGGCTGGAGATAGTGAAGACCCATCAGCAGGCAGCAGATATTTTCACTAAGCGTCTGGCGGAGGCGGATCATTGGAAGGGCATGAAGCTTGCTGGGATGAGTGTGCATTGAGTATGCATGCTTGAGATGTGGTATGGTCGATGATGGTTGGCAGCCAGAGGGGGAGATTGTTGTGTGATGTCATCATATGCTATCACATTCTGTCTGCCTCCCATCCCATGTTTTTTCAACTTGCATGTGTGGTTTGAATGTGCAAGCATTTGTGTGTGGTGTGTTCTGGAGTTTGGGAATGTGTTTTGTGTTATTCTGTCTGAGCAGGTATTTGTGATAATAGATCTTGAGAAGATCTTTCCGACGCAACAAGAATCGCTTCAATCGGAGCAAGAACGCGAAAGCTATGAAGATTCAAAGTTCATGAGCTTGCGTTACAATTGCGGCGGTTACTAAGTGAAGTTGTGGGGTGACTTTATATGGAGTTGGGACCTTTGGGGTTGGGGAAACTTGTCACTCTACTGTAACAGCTGCAAATTGGTTGGGAACAACCAAGCTAGGTTGGCAAGGGTGGCCAACTTGGATGGATTGGTTGGGAAGGGACAAATGTCAAAGTTGGGGTTCCTATAGGGAGGGAATCTTTGTGCTTATGGGGTTTCCTTGGTTGGGGACTCTCTTGGGACCTTCCCTCTCATCCCTCTCTTCCTATCCCAACCTTTCTCTTGCTCCTTCTAATTCCTTGTGAGATTCTTGAACTTTGATTGAACTCTTGAGATTGAGTTAAGTTCTCCTCCTACAGCTTACCCCCTAGTGCGTCGAAAGCCATAGCGTCGCGAATACTTCATCAATCAACGTGATTCAAATTGGGAACGGTAGCTGAGATCAAGAGCTACAACATATCCAAGTTTCGCGACATTCCAACGGCTAGTGTTTTGTCGACGTCGTTTCTTGTGAAGACGACTTTTCTGTCCAGAATTTCGGATTTATATTTTGAGTAATTCTAGCTCCTAAGTTCACCTAGACTCTGTCCTTAATCCTAACAGATCTTGGCCTCACAGCTGGACTGGGCAACAGACGAGGAGCGGGTAGCTCTCCACGAGACGGCACCTGAACCAAGGCTAAAGCAGTAGCCCAGCGAGGACCTGAGGGTCTCGGCGTCGTCTACCCACGAAGCGTTTGCGTGTCCAGTAAGGACCACTGGCATGCATCCTCCTAGCACTAACCCCATGCCCAATGTACTTGCAAGATAACGCAAAAACCTCTTAGCGGCAGACCAGTGCTGAGGTCGGTGTCTGCCTGTGGCCACAAAGCGAGCCAGGATGCTAAGAGGGTATGCGAGATCTGGGCGAGTGCAAGTCATCAGGTACATGAGGCAACCCACCAGCTCTGTGTAAGGACCACTAGGCTCTACTGACTCCTCAGGAACTGGAGCGTAGAGCCTGTGGTCTAGAGGCAAAGGAGTGGGCTTTGCGGAGGAGAACTGAAGGCCGAACCTCTGAAGGACCTGGCGCACCAAGTGTGACTGAGTCAAGTGATGGTGCGGGCTGCTCTGTCCCTGGAGATCTGCAAGCCAAGGTAGTGGCGCAATTCTCCAAGGTCAGTGCAGGTGTGTCTCTCCAGCAACTCTGCCTTCACCGAGGCCAGTGCGTCCCTATCTGCAGTGGCGAAGACCAGGTCATCTACGTAAACAAGGATGTAGAACGGAGTCTCGCCAGCAGGAACGAAGAGCGAGGGGTCTGCAGAGGACGGAAAGAACTGCAGGTCAGCAAGGGTAGCACGCAACGTGTCGTGCCACTCACGGGGAGCCTGCAGCAGGCCGTAGACGCGGCGCCGCAGGAGCCACTGGGTCCCACAAGGGAAGGTACCAGTGAACCCCTGAGGGCGGCGCAAGTAGACCTGCTTGTGTAGACTGCCCTGAAGAAACGCAGTGGAGAAGTCGAGGGAGTGAAGCTCGTAGTCACGCTGAGCTGCTACGTGTAGCAGCACCCGAAGAGTAGCCATCTTCGGGGCCGGAGCGAAGGTCTGAAAAAGTCCACCCCCTCACGCTGACTGAAACCTCTAGCCACGTAGCGCGCCTTGAACACAGGCGGCTCTCCAGGAGGGCGCTTCACCTTGAAGAGCCACCGGCCATCGACTACGTTCACCCCAGGTGGGGGAACTGCGTCGATGTAGGTGCCGGTGGATCTCCAAGATGCCATCTCCTACTCCATGGCAGCTATCCACTGAGAGGCACAAGGTCCCGAAACCGCCTCAGCGTAAGTGCGAGGGGTCGGGATGTCGAAAGTGTCTGGGTCACCCTCAGGGACTAGCAGCATGGAACAGAGATGGGGAGCAGCCTCGGACAGGAAAGCAAGCTCGTACTGGCGGTCCTCCAGGACATCACTGCCGAGGGCAGGAGCACCCCCGATAGACGGAGGACAGGCAAGGTCAGAGACCAGAGCAGTGGCGTAGTCAAGGCGGCGGGTAGAGGTGAAGTCAGCAACCGCAGCGACAAGAGCGTCAAGACGCAAAACCGGAACAGACTGGTCGGTAACGAGAGAGGCAAGGACCTGAGGAACAAGGGGATGAGCGGCACGAAGGTAGTCACACAGAGGGGGAGGGGCAACAACAAGGGAGGATGGAGGAGGCGACAGGAGGAGGGGAGGACGAGACACATGGGAATGAAGCAACATAGGGTGGGAGCGCGAAACAGGGGAGACAGGGCGATCACGGGAGGGACGGCGAGACCAGACGTGCGACGGAGGCGTCGGGTCAGGAGACAGAGGAGAAGACACAAGAGGAGAACGAGGGGGGAGACGAGCGGGGGACGAGTCCGGGGGAGGGAACACAGGGCCGTAGACCGGAAGAGGAGGGGACGGCAGGAGAGGAACAGACGCAGGGCCAGGGGACGGAAAGACGAGCAGGCGAAGGGCTGACACCGGCGGGGACTGCGGCTGCTGCGGCACAACACTGAATCCAGGGCCGAAAGCAGCTCCACGGCTACCACCGGAACCCTCCACTCCTGCACCACCAGAAGGAACACCCCCAGAGCCAGAAACGCCTCCAGCATCGGTACCACTCCCAACTCCAGCACCACTAGGGGCGACGAACGGCTGCTGTGGCAGTAACGGTGGCTGCGGCGGCGATGACTGCTGTGGCATCGGAATGACTGCTGCTGCAGCGGCAGAGGAGGAGACACTGGGGGGGGGAGTAGGCAGCAAGGACTGGGCCGCAGGACCACCAGAGTCAGCAGACTCCTCAACCGGGACAACTGACGGGAGGGGAGTGACGTGAGACACATCGGACGGGGCAGGGCGCGGGGGGGGCGGGGCTGGGGCTACCAGGGACGGGGGAACCAGGAACAGGGGGGGGGGAAACCGGGGGACCACGGTGTGGGAAGCGGTGGTAGAAGGAGACAGACTCGTCAAAGGTAACGTTGCGGGAGTGAAAGAAACGGTGGGACGGCGGGTGGTAGAAGTGCCAGTCGGACGAGTCAAGGGGGAAACAAAGGAAGACACAGGGGACGGTGCGGGCAGTAAGCTTGTCCGTGCCAGAAGCCTGAATGTGAGCAAGGCAGCCCCAGACGTGGAATGCAGACGCGTCACCAGGAGACCCGGTCCAAAGAAGGGTCGGCGAAACCTGCGGCCGCTGAGGGTGCAGCCACAGGTTAAGCTGGTGAGCAGCGTAGCGAACCGCGAACGGCCACAGATAATGGGGTGCATCGGCGTGGATCATGGAGGTACGAGCCACCTTCATGACCAAACCGATGCGTCGCTCAGCAGCCCCATTCTGCTGCGGCGAGTCCGGCAGGGTGAACGTCTGGATGATGCCCTCCACACGACAGAAGCGACCAAGGACACTGGAGGCAAACTCGCCCCCACGATCAGAGTGAAGACGCAGGACAGGGAGAATGCGGTGGACACGTGTAGAGACGAGCCAGGGGATAAGAATGTCAGGCACGTCGGCCTTCCGCTCCAAGGGAAAAACCGTAGTGTAGCGCGTGTAGTCGTCGACAAGCACGAGGAAGTAGCACTCGCGACGCGGTCCATGGACGGGGGCGGGGCCCCATACGTCCATGTGCAAGGTCTGTAGCGGTGCAGTGGTGGGGGGGGAAGAGGAGGAGTGAGGGGCACGGCGGAGCCGACCCTCGACGCAGGGTGTGCACGGTGGCGCTATGGAGGGGGGCAACTCGGGGAACGACCTTGGGAGACCTAGGATAAGACCGTGCTGTGACATGTGACACAAATGCGGGAGCGCAGGGTGACCTAGATGGTGGTGCCACAAGAGGGTCGGGTGAGTAAGCGACCGACACAAGCAGGCCGCTGCAACCTGAGACGACACAGCTACCTGGGGAGGCGTCCGAACCGGGGGGGGCGCGGTGTCCAGTGTGAACAGGCCAGACACCGGGTCTCGGGGGAATTTAGCGAGGGGAGCACCAATGGCGGCCTCAGTACAGACAGCAAACACCAACTAGGTTCCTGGAAAACGAAGGGACGTGCAAGCCTGTAAGCAAGCCCGAAGGAGCCGCCGGGCAAGAAAGGGTGGTAGAACTACGAGCGACTACCGGACCGGAGGAGGGGTCAGCAAGGGAAACCTCAGCAGGAGCAGCAAGCGGGGACAGCGTAGTGGAGTCGTGGAAGAAACACTGGGAAGCGCCAGAGTCCAGGGTGAATGTGAGCGCAGCAGTGGCGGCCGGGGTCGAAGCAACGACGGAGGAACCTAGGCTAAACAAGGCAGGAGGTCCTACGCCTGACGCAGTAGGGGGGGCAAGACTAGGCACACCTACACCAGGCAATACGGGGTAGTAATAACCAGTCACACTACAGGGCAGAGCTAAGCTCATCCATGTCCATATCAAAAATCGGAATACTACGGCGAAGCAAGCTGAGCCAGTCGGGGAGGTCGGGCGACGGGCCGAAGCGAAGACGAAACAGGTCGTCAAGGCGACGGAAGCACCGAATAGGGGAGTGACCGGTCTTACCGCAAACAGAGCCGTGGCGAGGACTGGTCTGGAGCTGGTACTGACAACGCCCGTCACCCGAACTGCCACCTGGGAGCACACCACGTGCACGTCCAGGCCACCCGGGCGGGAGACCACTTGCCCGTCGCTGCTGCTGCCGCTGCTGCGACTTCTGCGGCTGCTGCGACTGCTGCGGCTGGAGCTGTGGCTGCGGCTGCGGGTGGTGCTGGTCCGGCTGTGACAGCTGCGGCTGCTGGGATGGCTGCTCGGTGACACCAGGGACAGTCCCCTCGTCTGTGCCACCACAAGGCGCCTCGAATCCACTACCACCTCCACCTTCACCCCCACCCCTCTGCCGCGCCCAGCCTTGGGGCGGCGACCCTTCCCGGACGGAATTGCGCTGCAGCAGCAGTCTCAGCCACAGCAGCAGAACCGTCGGAGAAGGTGCACTGGGCAGGGGCACAACCTTGAAAGATAGGGACCGGCACAGTACCGCTAGTCTGGGCGATAGAGCGGTGGCGCGTCTCTATGGCAGACAGGGTGTCGACAAAGTCGGTGAGGGTGAGGTCACCGGGGTGAACGCTAAGGAAGCGGTTGCGGGCAGTGGCAAGACGTGTCAACGAGGTAAGGGGAAGCAAAGATATCGTGTTAGACTTCGGTGCTTGATGACACAAAAGACCACTTGAATTGAGCTAAAACCTTACCTGGTAAGACCTCTTCAGCTCCCTCTGCGTGGTACAGAAGGACAAGGGAATGGAACCACTCGATGCACTGCTTGATCTTGGCCGCACATGCCCATAGCAATGGCCACTGGTTGGCACAAAACAGCATGACGCCACTCAACTACTTCAGCTCACCCAGCCGCTCCTCCAAATTGTTGGCCATGCCTCCGCCATTGCCATGCACAGCGTGACGCAGTCATCGTGCTTCCCCTCGCCTGGATAGCCGATGTTTTCATATGCAGGATGAAGCTGAAGCGCCGCGGGTGACCGTCCGAGTCAATGCCCTCAACGGTGACGCGCCGCGAACTGGAAGGGCCGTGAAGGGTAAGGAACTCCGTGAGCCGGTCTTTCGGCGCCCTGTTGAAGTCATCGCCGCAGTCAACGTAGCGGCTTAGGAGCAGGGACTTCACGCGAGCGATGGACAAGTGGACAGTGGAGATGTCCGGCTGCAAGGAGGGGTGGTGCACACAGGTAAGGCACGGAAAGATGTCAGTCCAGCAGTTTAGCAAAGACACACAGTAAGTATACGTGACGCGCCTAGAAGATCTTGTTGAGCGTGTTCATCTGCTCAAGCACATCTGCCAGAAACATCAAGAGAAACCAGAAACGATAGCTGGTAACAATGGTATACAGCCTATCGTCTGGGAACTCAGACAGCATCACGATGATTGCCGGCAAAACCTTCACCAACCGTTGGATGGCATCCCCGCGGGAAAGCCACCTAACGTAGTGAATACCCTGCAGCTCAAGCGCCGTCGAGAGGAAGACATCTTGAAGCTCAAGAAAGCGTTGATGCCACGGCCCTGAGCATCCGAGGAACTCAGCGAGCTCTCGGATGACATCGTCGATCATCATGAAGGTGGGGAGGTCATCGACCGCGGTCTTGGCGGCCAGAGCCTCACTGCGCAAGGACGTGCACAAAACATGAACAGTTGAAGAGAGAGTTAGACAAGGCAATACAAACATGGCGACTCGCCAGGCCGAAATACGAATGCAAAAAACCACATAGTTACCGATGCGCTACGCAGTGGCAGGAGACGAGGTGACGAATGTGCAGTCGGAGACGAGTAACAAGTCCAGAATTCGCGCCCATCATCACTGCTGCCCCGTCAGTGCTGATGCCAAAGATCCGACGAAGATCCACTCCGATGGCCTGGAGGTGGGAGAGCAGCAACGCCAGAAGGGAGGCAGCGTCCGCCTTGTCGACTGTAGGAAGAGCCAGGTACTCCGTGACCACCCGACACTCACGAAGGAAGGTCGCAAACACGATCATGTGCTTCCCCGGCACCTCTCCATGCTCTCGTCCAGGCTGAGCCTGATGAACAGGCTTCGCAAAAGATGCTCTAGTTGAGTTGTCTGAAGCCATGTAGCCGTGGCCTGCGTGAATTCTCCAAAGCCGTACCTACAAACGGAAAAAAAATGGAGTTAGAGTAGTCGCATTAAAAAACACCAAGGACCTGTCATTCAATTTGACGATTCACGAGTTCAGGTAGGTGCCGTAACCTTCCTCGGGGACGTTTTTGTAGAACCGAGAGGCGAGGTAGCGTGCAAATGTGATCCACGTCTCCATCGGTTCGTTCGTCCTACAGCAGAGGTAGAGAGAATCAAGAAGCGCCGTCAGCTGTTCCTTCTCAAGATCAGCGGCACGGGGATTCTGGTCGATCCTCGTCTGCGTCGTTGCCTCCTGCAACAGAGCAGCCTGCTTCCCGTAGGCGAGACGATGCTTCCCAGTGCTGGTGTGTCTAGTGAAGGCTTATGTCTGGGCGTCCGAGAGACCAGGGCCACGGCGTCCGCTCTTCCCTGAGAGACCTGCATGGTCCATACACAACTGACACTTGAAGGCCGGGAGGCCTTCTTCAGTTTTGACAAGCAAAAGCCAAGGAAAAGCGTCGCTCCATTCTTTCTTGTATTTACTGAGCGCCTCTGTGTACTGCTAAGTCGGGGTTCTCACCTTCTTCGTAGTCGTCGGCGTGTCATCCTCTGACTCAGCATCATCGGAAGCGGGGTTGGACGGTGGAGACACTTCGCTAGCCTGTTTGGGCCGCGAGAATGGGAGAACAGCCTGAACGGTAGCGCCCAGGGAGCTTAGCAGGTCCAGCCGTGGGCGACAGATGCTCGCAGGAGCAGGTGTGGAGGGACCGGGCTTAGGATTAGGGACATGCTCTATACGGAGTCGCCGGCGGTTTTTTGTCTGGTTCTTCCTGGCCGAGACGTGCAGTTCCTCTAAGAGGCATGCGCGTAAGGCTAGATAAAGTCGAGAGCAACAGGTCTAGGCCAGTGGTGAGGTCCACATGCTGGCCATCATCTGCATCACCATCGACCAGTTCCCCGTCGATTGGCTCTCCCATGACGAGGTGAGACACAGCTTTTGAGGAGCTACCAATTGAAGAGGGAATGGCTACTCGAGGAACAAAAAGCCTGAGGGAGATAGGCAAGTATAACAACAGTTGAAGATGAAGATGAACCAGATGGGGTAGCTTGTGGGAATGGATCGGGGCACGGCACGGTGACCTTGCCTGCATGTTGGGCAAGGTTCACGAGGAATCCACTCGTAAACGCAGTGCTGGCAGGCAAGATGCTGTGCACACACCGACAGTGACGTCAGTGTGGCAGAAAAATGCAAGGCCGCTGTAAGTTGCTAGTTCTCCATTGGTTGCTATACTTGTGATTTCGTGGTGTCCAACCATGTCACGCAGCCACGCTCTTTGTGGCGATAGCACATGCTGTCAAACACTCGTCGCCCAATCCTTAGCCGCAGCACATTATGTGCTGGCAGAAAACTCGCCACCACGACGCAGATTTGGGTGGAAGACTGGTCGGCTCGGCGTGACTGACGGGGAACTCACGGGAATCTCGGGGGGGCGGGGGGGGGGGTGGGGGGGGGGGCTATTATTGGAAACAGGGAAGGTCCCCGTTTCTAGGCTGTAACAGTCAGGGCCCACTACCGTTGTTACGCTGGTCAAACAGAGTTCAGTTATAAAAAAACTCTGATTTATCAGGGTTAAGGGAAAAAAAAATCCTAGCACATCAGGGTCGGTACCGACAAAACCTCTGAAAAATCCCTGAATCAGGGAAATTTGCCTGAAATCAGAGGCCATAACTTAGACCCTTTGGTGATGAGGCGATTCTTGCGCAGCAGCGTGAAGATTGCATAAAGATCCTGTAAGTGCTGCTACCTACTGCGGCTGTAGATTAGTATATCATCGAGGTAGATGATGACGCATTTGTCCAAGAGTTCCCTGAAAATTCCATTCATGGTCATTTGGAAGGTCAAGGGCGCGTTTGTGAGGCCAAAATGCATCACCAGGTACTCGTAGCTGCTGTAGCGGGTTCGAAATGCCGTCTTGTGAGAATCGTCGGCGGCGACGCGAATCTGATGATAACCTCCTCGCAAGTCGATTTTCAAGAAAAACTTGGCGCCGTGAAGTAGGTCGAGAAGTTCGTCGGCTCGCGGGATCGGGTAGCGCGACTTGATGGTGATCCGGTTGAGCGCGCGGTAGTCGATACACATTATGAATCCTCCATCCTTCTTCGGCATGAACAGTATCAGGGCAGCGTATGGTGACATGCTGGGCCGGATAAATCCTTTCGTGAGAAGGTAATCCAGCTGCTACTGTAATTCTTCCAGTTCTTGTTGGCTGAGCCAAAATTGGCGCTGTACTGTCGGTTGGGCGCTTGGTTCTAGCTAGATTCGGTGGTCCTCAGGTCGGCTCAGCAGGAGTCCAGCTGGCAGATCGTTCAGGAAAATCTCAGGGTATTTCCGAATCAAGTACACTAAGTCCGGAGGGACGACCTTGCACAGCTTCTCGATATCTTCGTTCTCGACCGTCGATGTCACCTTGCGAAGATCAATGGCGTACGCTGCTGCTCCAGCCTTCCTCGTGCGCTTGAAAGTGATCGCGTGGACTTGGGTGCTTCGCATACAAGGCCCCGTCCACTTGGGCTGCTCGCAGGAAATCCATCGAGCTTGATGCTGCAGCCGCCCGTCGTCAAGGCAATCTTCGGGTTGTACCGTCGCAACCAATCACGTCCCAGCAGCACATCGCACCCATCGAGAGTGGTCGCCAGTAGTCCCATCCGAAGTTTTACATACTCCCTGCATGTAAAACTAACGTTCTCCACCCGTTCCCGTATTGCCAGCGGTGTTCCGTCCACCAGTCGGGCGTCGATTTCAGGTAAACACTTGAGTAAGGGTATACCCAATTTTAAGCCATGTCCAGTTGTATCAAACTGTGACTCGCGCCTCCATCAACGAAGATCTTCAATAACACCCCGTTGACTTTACCCTCCACCAACACAGGGTGATCAGCAGTTTCGTCCCCCTTATTCGTCCAGGTCCGGTCGATTGCAGCAATCGGGATCATGACCCAGTGGGGACTGTGTGGTTTGGGCGAAGAAGCTTACCCATCAGTAAGGGGCCGGTACTTACTGACACGACCATTTCCTGGTTGCTCCTCCGGCTTCTTCCCCATAGAATTCTGGAGGGCTATGAATTCTTAGCAGTTGTGTCGGATGTGACCCGGCTGACCACAGTGGTAGCATAGCCCCGTATTTTGCGGAGCAACTGCGTTAATATCCACTGCATCCACCCCTTTTATCGTGGCGCACTGGTACTGTTCTCGAGGGCGACCTCCGTCGTAGAAGTTCGTCCTCGCCTTCGTGATCGAATCAGCGGCTTCAGCGAGCTAGATGTAGTCTTGTAATCGCTTCGCAGGGCGTTGCAGTTTTATCTAGTACTGTATTTCGGGCTTCAAGCCGCCCATGTACCTGTCGACTTTCTCCAACTCGTGCATGTAGCCACATCTGTCCACCAACGTCAGGAACGACGCGGTGTACTCGGACACAGATCCCAGCTGCTTTCACATGCGTAGAGTTTCGTGTGCCTTGTCTGAGTCAGGTGCATGCTCAAACCGCTTGCGAAGCTCTGCGCACCACGTTGCCCACGTGCGAATGTGGTCGCTCCGAACAACAAATCTGCCTCGTCTTTGTCGCCAAATTCTTCGGACCACTCATGCTGTCCTTCTGTGTGATTTGTTGCTGAGTCGACGATGACCTTTCACCACTGTAGGGCGGCCCCTTGCAACAGTGTTAATGTGTGGCTGATCCACTTCTGATCGTCTCTGATGCCCGCAGCGTTAAAATAGATATTCATGGCGAATATCCACTGTCGCACTGTCACGCCTTTATTAGCTGGGTCGAAAGGAGCGGGTTGCTGATATCTTACGCCACCACTTGTCGAGCGCGGGGCTGTTGCCCCTAGTCATGCCAGCTCCACTGGCGACGGTAGCTGCTCACCCGCCTCGCTTCGTGCATTGTGCACGGCTCCTCTGGACGCCTCTCCAGTGCCTAGCGAAGTCGCTGGTTCTCGCCGCGGAGGTCCTTGACAACGCTTGTCAAATTCTTCAACTACTCCATTAATGTTTGCAGGTCCACAGTTTCCTGGGCAGGGTTCGCAACAATCGAGGTGGACTGTCCCTCAACCGTCGAGTCTATCGGGGCCATGGCGGTCAGGACGGGGCAGAAGCTAGAGCACACACTGTAGTTGTTGACGTTAAAATACAGTGACGGAAACAATTGTCCGGATTTTTGCATTAACGAGGGTTTTTGGGCATTCCGACCACTGTACATAAAGTCTTTATGTTTAATGGTGGTACGCTTTGGGAGTGGCACATAGTGGATGTGTTCATAATGCTATACTCCATAATAGAACACTGGATCTAACTTAGTGTCAAAAGATATCCAAAAAGTCCATCCGGATAATTGTTTCCCAGGACAAAGCGCAAACTTGCGAACAGCGTTTCTAGTACCTATTCTACCGACCCTTGGCCTTGATCACCACACGCACCCTCCTAGGCATGTTATCTACGAGGTTAGTGCAAACTGTTGCAGGGATCTTCTCACACTCTCTTGGACCCACCCTTTTGCATAAAGGGGTGAGCACTAGGAAAATCGCGAAAGATTTGAGCGTATGCAAGAATATTGTGCACGATTTCTGATTGAATGTGATCTCTTAGACTAGCCACGCTGAGGTGTGTCTTTTCATGAAATGACGGGACCATTAGCTGTGTGGTCCCGTCTTTTCATGGGTCGTCTTCGTCGTACCGTTGCAGGGGTAAAAATATGAACAGAGTGGCAAAAACTAGCGCATCCGCCGCGAAACTTAGGGTAACATAGCATGGTTGACTGTGCACCCTTTCACAATTAGAATCACGTTAAAATCCACAGGTCTCGTCACGGTGCAGCAGTCGAAGAAGCCCCGGCAGGTGGGGAATAATATATGGGTTGAGGTCTGGTGAGGAAGAGGGTCACTCGAGTGCTACATACTCATGCTCTCCAAGCCATTCCAAGTCTAGGCGGGTCAAATGGCTTGGAATGGCTTGGAGAGCATAAGTATGATGCGCTGGAGTGACCCTTTTCCTCACCATACCTCACTTCAAGCATTCATCTCGAACAGTCATGACTTATTCGAATGCCTGCACCGTGACGAGACCTGTGAATCCTAGCGTGCTTCTAATAGTGCAAGGGTGTACAATCGACTGTGCTATGTCACCCTCAGTTTCATGGCGTATACGCTAGTTTTCCCCGCTCTGTTCGTGGTTTTACCCTACAGCGGTATGATGGAGACGACCCATGAAAAGACGCGACCAATCGGCTAATGGCATCTTTGGTCACACTTCAGCATGGCAAGACTAAGAGATCACATTCAATCAGAAAGCATGCACAATTCCTTTGCATACGCTAAAATCCTTTACGATTTCCTAGTGCTCACCCCTTTATGCAAAAGTGTGGGTCCAGGAAGAGTGCAAGAAGGTCCCTGCAACAGTTTGTGCTAACCTCATAGATAACATGCCTAGGAGGGTGCGGGTGGTGATCAAGTCTAAGGGCTGGTGGACTAGTACTAGGAACACTGTTCGAAAGTTTGCTCTTTGTCCTGGGAAACAATTGTCCAGATGTACTCTTTGGATATATTTTGGCACTAATTTAGATCTAGTGTACTATTATGGATTATAGCACTATGAACACATCCACTATGTGCCCCTCCCAAAGCGTGCCACCATTAAATATTAAGACTTTATGTACAGTGATCGGAATGCCCAAAAACCCTAATTAATGCAAAACATCCGGACAATTGTTTCCGTCATTGTATTTACAATCCAAGACAGCTGCTGTGTAGCCGTGCTAATCCCCTCTGACCACCCTTAACTACTGTAAGTAGATGGGAAAATGGAAGGTTCGTGGAAAGGTCGGGCTCTGATACTAGCTGTTATGATGTAGGAAGTGTCAATGAAATATAACGTGAGAATACAAGGTCGCTATTGCAATGAAGGCACGAGGTTATATAGAGCGATAACCTCGGAATGTGGGTAGGTTCGGCAATGTGGCGACAGTGCCGGAGGTTGCGCGGGAAAGTTTGGGCCGACAAATGAGGCCGAATGTGATGATCGAGGAGTTCGGGTGTACGCGCTAGCGTACGACTCAGTAAGGAATGGAAATTCCTTACACATTCCCTTACGATCTCGTCCCCTTTACTTACTTTCCGATGCCTTATAAAAGGCTTAAGGTGTATACGGTCATTGCTTAAAGGCAGAAACAATGCACCTTAAAGGCCTCCCTAAAAGCCCCAACAAGACTCTTACACCAACCTCATAAGTCCTCCATAAAACCTCCATAAGTTCCCCAAGGGACTCCCATGTGACTCCCACGTGACTCACGTGTGACTCCCATGTGACTCCCATGGGACTCCCATGGGACTCCCATGTGACTCCCGTTTGACTCCCGTGTGACTCCCGTGTGACTCCCATGTGACTCCCATGGGATTTTCATGGGACTTCCATGGGACTTCCATGGGACTACCATGGGACTTCCATGGGACTTCCATGGGACTTCCAAGGGACTTTCATGGGACTTCCATGGGACTTTACCACAGCTCTTTTTAGCTCTTCCTCGCACATATGAACCCACAACCAGTAGAACACGTAACCCAATATGTTTAACCACGAGACCTTCAACTAGCTCCTTCTATGATGGTTCGTCCTCGACGAATAGGCGCAGGTTGAAGTGCAAAAACTGATTTGCACCAACAAACTCCCCTCAACGTGGCGGCTATTCATCACCTCCAGCAATAGCTTCGGTGATAATATTCTTCACCCATTTCTTCAGCACAGGGAATAAGTTCCCAACAGTGCCCACCTCAGCATTCTTTCAATGCTTTGTCAACGAGCTTCAATGTAGCAGACACCTTCACTCCATCATTTGGGAGGGATTCCTTTGCCTCCCTCGCATGTAGAGTCAGTGAGATCCACCACGATCTGCTTCTTGTTACCACACGAGGATCTTCAGCTTCCTCCAAGCTAGGCAGCTCCTTGGACTCTCCTTTCACTCCTTGTCCATCGGCCTCCAAGCCAACAACTTCTGTAACACCAGATATTCTTGCACAAGCGAAGGTCTCTCGGTTTGCACATCATTCAGCACCACCTTGGGTTCCCTTTATCTGCGACTTCCTTGTCCAGAAATGCCGGCGGCTTCTCATTCACCATATGGCCTCCATCAGCTTCACTGTTCAGCTTCACATTAGCCTTCAATGACTGCTGCTCTTGGTTTGCACTCTTGTGCATGCCATGCTTCTCATCAGCAACAACAATCATGTTACTCCCCTGGAGTCTACAACTCTGTCCTTGTCACCCTTCCCTGACATTTCTCAGCAGCTTCAAGACGAGCAGTGACATGGTGCAACTGCTGCACCAGGTTCTCAACTACCGCTTTCAGCTCTTTCACAGCTTCCTTAGCACTTGCAGTACACTCCCCCTAGCAGCTGCACTTCTCCACGTCTTTTTATGTCCTTTTATTCCATGGAAGCTCTAGCACGTGCCACATCTCCTCGTGCACATTCTTGCTCTCATGCAAGTCCATAACACTCGGCCATTGAGATGCCCTTTGAAAGATTCAGCTCCATTGGTTGCTGTGCTCACTCCCACAAGCCCCATCTTCCTCAAGGAGATTAGGTTTGCTTTTCACCTCCGGCACCAAGAACACATCATCGAGAACCATCGGCTTCCCATCAGCTCCCTTGAAGGCCCACGACGTTCATCTCATGCCCACATCCATCGGCCAATTTGCCGACACCCATGACGTTCATCTCATGCCCACATCCTGAGACCATCTCAGTGATGGGGGACTTTTTTATGCTACCTAGAAGTTCCGCCCTCGGGGTCATGTGGTATGCTTCTCCAGAGTCCAAATCCAAGTATTGAGGGGATGATGCTTTGCTTCCTCCTTGGCATATGCTTTCTCACGTACTGTACCTCTTTCCCTTGCACATGGAAGAAAGCACCTAGAGCCAGCCCACTGTCCTTTCCCCTTCCCTTTGCGGTCTCTGCTACATATCTAGCTCCATTTTGCTGGTTGACTTTATCCTC